AGCAATTTGAGAATGCGTAGGTACAATAAAGCCCCTCTTTAGATTCTTATCAATGAATTCCCACAAGGCTTCCAACTCTTTGGGTGTCATTGGATATGTTTTCTTCCTTGGAAATTTAGCCCCAGGCTCAATCTCTATGGCACAGTCACTGGTGCGATGCGGGGGTAGCTGATCTGACTCCCGTTCGCTAAACACCTCCTGCAGGTCACGGTGTTGCTTGGGATGCAGCCTCCCCTGCCTTTTCCCTACTCACAGCGCCCATCTCTTCATCTGACGACGTTTCGGTAATTCCTTCAACTTGCACTCCCCCCTCCTTTGGGAAACGCAAGATCTTTTCCTCCCAGTTCACTTCTGGGGTCTTCCTTTTTTAACAGTTCATGCCCCGAAGCACTGGGGTGCCTGCCATGGGAGTCACTAGGAATTTAATAGTCTCTTTATGGTCCCCCATGGTTAGCTTGAGCTCTTCAGTACGATACTCCACCGGCCCTCCCCCCACTGGGGATCCGTCCAGCTGGGTAAAAATCACAGGGGTTTTGAGTCTCTTTAAGTGCAGTCCCAAACCCCGGGCAAGGGCGGGATTAATCAGATTTCGGGAGCAGCCAGAGTCTATCAGCGCCTGTATCTCTGCCTTTCGGTTCGTCCTCACCACCCTTAGTTCCACCCAAATTTTAATGGGACTCACCCCCATCTCTTCCCTCTCCAAGTCCTCTCGTGAGCTGCTTTCCTTCTCTGGGAGAGTAGCTGCCTGTCGGAGAGAGAGCAGATCTAACAACTTTTGCCACCGCCGCGTGTTGCTGCTCTAGCTCCCGCCTCGCTGCCTACTGCCGCTGGCTCTTTCTTGCCGGGCTTTGAAGACTTCGGCCCCTTCCGCTCCGTCTTCTTGCCTCCTTGCTCTGTCTTTGCTTTAGGGCACGCAGCGGCAAAGTGTCCTGGCTCCCCGCAGTTGAAACAGACGCGCCTGCTCCTGCTACCTTCCGGCGCGCTGGTCTTCGCCTTGGCCGCCACCTACTTTGTGCCGGGTAAGGGCGGAAGTTGGGTTCTTGCTTCTATGGGGCGCCATTGCTCCTCCGCTTCGCCGGCCATAGCGACCCATCCATTAAAGGTTTTGGGGAAACCCCGGCACACCACGCACTGCAACAATTCGGGTTGTAAGCCTCTCTGGAAAAACTTGATCAGGAGCTCTTC